GTATGATAAGACTATAAGCGCACACTAGAATAGATGATTGTTTTTCATGTTCAAAAGGTCTAACATACTGGTGTTGCAAGGGTGTTGGGTATTCAGCCCGAACCATAGACCCTGCCCGCCCGAGTGCTTGCCTGTCCAGGTGCTACTTTGCTCGCCCGGTAGCCCGAGGCGGCCTCCTTCGGGTTATAGGAACATGGTTGCAGAATGTTACAGATATCAGTTTGTAATTTTCTAACTCTTATATTTTGTTTCAAGTAGCTACGACTAGTACTACTAGTATTGCTGTTTTTTACTGTAAGACTTGAAACTTTGTTATGCTAGATTGCTGCTACATTACGGTATCATGCAATATATGTTGCTGCAGTTCAGGGCTGGCGAGCTCTTCACCTTCTTGCCTCCCGCAAAGAAGGGATTATGCCGCTGCCTGCATGACGGAGGGACAACATATGGTTGACCATTAGACTGACACGTTTTTGTGTACATCAGCAACAGGCCACACATACGGTTTGAGGCTTTGGGCCTTGCTGTTTGGGGCAGTGAGGCCGAGGGGCTGTTGGTTCTGGTTTTGTTGGTTCGGGACTCACACTGAGTGGAGTCTTGTAAGACTCCCATATGGATTATGCATGATTGGGCCATGTACGGGCCATTTTTGCAGTAGGAGGAGAAACCGCAAAGCCCAGGCAGCCGAGTTGAAGACAGCCCGCAATCGTTGCTGCTACGGACGTTTCCTTTGCCTGACTGCCGAACTACGTACAGCGTGAACACTGCTATGGCTATGAACTGCTCCACTCACTCACGGTACGGCTAAACCCTCAAGAAGACACTCATATCTGGGTTTGCCAAGCACCTTAATTCAAGTTAGTGACCTATATCCAAGAATGCGTATGATTTACCGTACTTCCCTATACTGCACTTGCATAGGGTTTCAACCCAGTCATTGTCGCTATTTGTCGCTGCACAACTACGGCGCTCCTCGTACTGGCCAGACTGAGGAGCAGCTACTCTCCGCCAGCAGTCGCCATCTTCCCAATCGATGGCCTTACCATCGGTGCTAAGGTAGCCACGCACGTCTTCGTAGTCCGTGATGATGACACAGGTCTCCGCATTCAGCACTTTGATTCTGGCAAAGAGGCTCCCATCGTGGAAGACGTTCTTGCCTGTCACAACCAAACCAACTCTTACTAGCTACAGCACCGGTAAGGCAACAGTGGGGCCTGAATGATCAGAAAAGGGTTTGGGTGCACGTTGTGTTTTAGTTATGATAGGGAGTCCAAGGAATAGCACCAATAATTTACTTATTTCTCCGACTCCTGTAGTACCAGTATACTTGAAGAATGGAGGCTCCTGAGTGAGGCGTTGCAACAGCCACCGGCCTGAAATGATGACAGTTGTGGAGCTCATGGTGTCTCCCACCGCCATTGTGCCTTCCTGGATCAAGCACGGCTTACAAATCTGAACCCGATTCCATGGACTTGCTTGCAGTGAAATACATGCTCGAACAGCACGGATATAGCTCCTGCACCAACCCATTAGCACACACAGAGCAGAAATGCTCACAACCACATGGGTAGTTCTCAAAATTGAGGGTCCTTTTTTTGAGGGTTCCGTACTGTTGTTTTGGGGACCCGAAAACGGAACCTAATTTAGAGAATTACCCACATCGAGACAGGTGTGCACCAGGCGTTGTTCAACCTTCCGAATTCTGGGTGCTGTTCGAGGGGAAGGCTGGAAGACTCCCGGACGTACGCTGACGGGGTCTTGCAATCGGGTTTAGGGGTTTGGGTTCATTCAAGAGTTTAGGGCTCATAGGATTCATATAGGATTTGGGGTTGGGAATCCAGGCTTCGGAGCTGGCTTAAGACCTAATCTGCTTTCTCAAACAAGCCTGGAAAATCAAGGCTCACCTACTACTCGAGGGCACTGTTACGACGCTCCCCGTGCGAACACCCTAAACCCTAAACGCTCTGCCCATACCTGGTGTAGCAGCTGGAACACCGGCAGCAGCAAAGCCGCTACAGGGATACTGTTGGTGCCTTTGATATTTAGAATAGGGTGTTGAGGTATATGATACTACAGTTAGAATAAGGAACCCCCAAAATAGTATAGGAACTTAGTAAAGCCCCTATTTTTACATAGTATTGCTGAGAGGATGGAGATCTTGACCTCATAGCCCTGGGATGGATTGATGCTGCCAGGGGGCCCAGAAGCCATCAAACGACAACGCAGAGAGCTTCTCCAGCTCCGATGGAGCACACTGCTCCACGTCATCTGGATTTGTTGCCTCGTGTCTTGGTTGCTTCAGACTCCTTAAACCAGAACAGCCTACTAAACTCTTGTGCGGGCTAACTTTCGTTCGGTATATCCAATTGCGTGTGTGTGTGTGTGTGTGTGTGTGTGTCTGTCTGTCTGTCTGCCTGCCTGCCTGCCTGCCTGGCTGGCTGGCCGGCCGTTGGTCTGTCTGTCTGTCAGTCTGTCAGTCTCTGTCTGCGTGTGTGGGGAGGTATGTCGGAGTGAAGCCGTCCGGTCCGGCACCCTGCTAGTGCAACATGTGCGGGTTCTGAAGCGTTGGAGCTTTCACGAGTTAACTCGTCTTGCATGTCAAACGGTAATAATAATACCATACCGTTAAACGTTGGGATATGCGTGAAACTGCGCCTAGTGCTCTGCGGTTAAAGTTGTTGTTTTCTCCCGTCCGCCCGGGTCTGTGGCGGCATTGGTAGGTACACATGTAAACTGTGAAAGTTGTTTGTTTTCCAGCCCTCCATCAAGATAAAACCATGAACGTGTTCCTTCCAACTCGGTCATAAGGCAGGAAAAGTTGAGCTACCCCTTGTTGAAACCCATGTTTTGACAGCGAAGCGCCTCTTAACCAACCAAAAACTACCCAAGGCTTGGTTTTTGGGACTATGGGAGTTTCCAAGACTACAAAACGCCCGGCTATCCTCACCTACCAATCCTACGGCCTCGGGGCTTACTGAACTTTGATGGACCCCATCTCTTGCAGCATGAACTCTACCTGGATGGATATTGGCGCCGTAGCCCCTAAGACTCTACTCTAAGATGGGGGGCCTGGGGGCCTTAATAATCCCCTCAGCATTAAGCAATATTTCTACTAAATTGGGTAGTTTCGGGGAGCATTTGGCAAGGAATGCAGCCGAAGAGTTTAAAAGGGCCGAGACTACAGGGCAAGTAAACCCGAAACTCGTGTTTTCTAACACGAACGCTGTTTGGGAGAACCTATGGGTGGCCTCAAGGTAGAGGGTTAGTTGGGGACCTAAATGCTCTGACTACTTAGTTTGCCTGGATCGCAGAGTTCGATTGACAGAGCGAGTACGTACTAGAACGTGTGAGTTGAGTTCCTTGCCCGCTCAGAGTTTAGGGTTCTCTTAGGACTGCAGGCACTGTCCGGGAACTGCAGGCTGCAGCAATGGTCGAGACGTGACTGCAGGGTCTGTGGCCTGCCAAAGGAAGGGTTTAGAATAAAGCGCTGAGTAATGTGCACATCCAAATTATTACAACCTATTGATATTGAACATTTTCACGAAAAAGAACGGTAACACTAGAGTAGGGGGAGAGGGTGCAGTAACAGCAAGCGGAGATTATTAGAAGAGGGTCTGAGGCCTCATTAGTGTAATATATAGTGAGGAATCCTAAGGAGCAGTATTTTCGAAGTTATCAGGCTTGTATATTAAACCAGAGGAGCTCCAGGCAATGCGGACTGGGGGCATACGTCCACCTCTTCGGCATTGCAGCGCCCGGCAGGAGGAGGGCTTGGGATTTAGGATTTGGGGATGCGCTGCTGGAGGTTTCAGAGGACTTACTCGGGCAAAGGTTTTAGGCTCTCATGTTTAGGGCTTTAGCTTTTCATGGTTTAGTGTTTTGAGGGCTTCGAGAATTTTGGGGCTTTGTGCTTTAAGGGTTTTGTTGCGTCTGCGACCCTTTGAGGGCCTCTGCCTCCCGGTGCCAAATAAACAAGGTTTCCAGACTTTAGTATAACCTAGAAGCCAGAAACTCGGAAGGAACTTTTCGCATAAGGCTTACGTAGCGGTTTGAGGTTTATTAAGGCTTTCGGTATGGGGCGGTTGGTGTGAAATCAAGGTATAAGAATCAAGTCCTTTCTCCTGCGGCCATGTATTTCTATTTCGGTCTTTACGGTATTCCGGTTGTCTGCGTTATAGATGCCTGACCGCCCCACACCCCACTCTCAATCTCAGAACTGCATTGGGGGTAGGTTGTGTCCTCGGTTCTGCGCAACGAAGCTGGAGCCACCAGGAGGCGGTGCACGAGTCAGCGGACTTCTTGGGTTGATTTCTTGGGTTGAAGGGTCTTAATTAGTAGTTGGAATATATAGGGCTTAGGCGTCTTAGTCTTAATAACTCAGTACGGTAACTAGAAGAGGGCTTCGCGGTGTATCATTTCAACATACTGTAGGGGCCTTTATAATTAAAGTTTTTTTTGGGTGTATTATACTAATTATGAATTATAAGAAGGAGCCCCCCAAAAAAATATAGGTACTTATTCAGGCCCCTATATATAAATTGCAGCCTCCATCGCAGGGCTTGGGGTCTGCTCGACGCCTTGCCCGTTGACATCCGAAAGGGCAGGCATCCCGAGGTCGAGGCAGGCGAATCTTCAAACCCCCGAAAAGGGGTTTAGGGTCTTTTCGGGTTTTAGGGTTTAGGGCTTAAGGGCTTCAGGGTTTTAGGGTTTTAGGGTTTTTTAGGGTTTTAGGGTTTAGGGCTCAAGGGTTTTAGGGTTTGAGTAAGTCCGAAACACGAGACACACCTACCGCAAACCCGGGGGTCATGAGACTCTGATGGCATCCCTCCTGCTCCGCCGCCTTCCTCCCTAGGCCTCTCTCCCCAGAGAGACCAATGAAGGAATATAGCTTTAAATCATAATATTTATGGCCCCTATAATTTTAAGGTATATTCCTTAATTAAGGAATGTAGCCTTAAATTATAATATTATGGCCCCTATAATTTAAGGTATATTCCTTAATTAAGGGGTATTGGGCTCTCTCTCTCTTTCTCTGACACAGTACTTGGAGGTTCATGGGTAGTTATAAGTATGGTTATAAGTCCCCTAATACAGGTTATAACTACAGTTACCCTACTTTTAACCCCATGGATAACTACCCATGAACCTCCAAAGTATCTTTCTCAGCGTGACCTCGACAACTCTTCCCGATATGGACGAAGGGCTCATTCTTGTCCCACTGTTCCCACTCTCGGTTTCGATGTTTGGGGTTCACCATCCCGATTTTGACAGCAAGCTCTTCTGTGCCATTCCAAGCCTGTACAACTGCTGTCGCAAAAGCTCCATTAGCTTCTTGGGGAACTTTGTTTAACATACTGTCCCGGTATCCTAGGGGAACTAAAGGTTAACCTTTGGGATTCTATGGTGATTTTCGCACCCTCCCCTCAGAAGGGTCAAAGCTTACTTACCCTGCTACTACCCTAAACCCTAACCATAACCCTAAAGCCTAAACCCTAAACCCAAAACCGTGGCTACTAGGTCCAGGTTCGTTTGTTCAAAAAGAGCTCCAGGTTCCTCGACCTGACACACCCTGAACACCGGGTTAGGGTTTAGGGTTTAGGGAACTTTACGTTTTCAATTCTTGGGCCCGCAAATACTTGGGGCCACTTTTCACCTCCCACCTAGCTAAGGGTTTAGGGTTCAGGGTTTCGGCGCTCACGCTCGGACGCAGCAGGGTTTGGGGTCTACAATTTTGAAGATCTTGCTTTCATTGCTTTCAGGCATTGGCACTCACCGTATCAACAAACTGGCGCACGTGCTTCTTCAACAAGCTGGGGAGAACTCAAAATATCCTAATTCCGGAACATCGAACCCAAAACCCTAACACTAAACGTGTAGTTCGAACTTTCGAACTCAAAGGTCACCAGAAGAGTATGGTACAGTACACTACCAACGGAGTCTTTGGGAGTTCAGGAGGGTTTCCCCCCCACATCCTCGGAGCAACTTGTCCAAGACCTCGACGGGCCAAGCAAACTGTCCGGTGACTTGCAGTCCTACATAAAGGCCCTCGGCCTTAATCCAAATTGTGGCTTAGGCCCAGAGAGCCCAATACCCCTTAATTAAGGAATATGGCTTAAATTATATGGGGCTTCATATTATGATTTAGGCTATATTCCCTAATTAAGGGGTATTGGGCTCTCTGGGGGGTTTGTTGGTATTGAAGGCCGTGGTTCGACAACTGGATAGGAGGCTGAACTCAAGGGTTTTAAGCTTTTGGACAAATCACGGTCTGGCTGTTGGATCCAAGGAGAATGGTGGGTACCGCTTAAAGACCGACGCAGCTTGCGATGCCCTCACTGATCCACTGTATGACTGTATGAGTTTACAAAGCTGGCGCAAAATTCTGTTCAATCACACCGCGCAATGAGCCTGAGACAATGCAAGACACTGACACGCTGGCTAGAAGATGGCGGTACCAGCACAGCAAATCCGTGCAGTTTGCCGGCCAGCGTCAGTCTTACTGGGCTTTGAAGTAACCAGGGAGAAAAAAGTATAGACTTTCATTTTATAATGGTTCCTTTAAGGAACAGGTCCCAAAAAAAAAGTATTAAAGTATGGNNGTATGGTACTCCAAAGCCCAGCTTAGCCCAGGAAAAGGGTAAGCAATTCCTGCAGCCGCGACCTCCAGCCAGACCTTCTGGCATGCCGAAGTCCGATGAAATCAGATGTCTGGGTTTAGGGGTTTAGGG